GATTGGCATTTAGTTACATTTAATTATTTTATTTTATTAATTTTTTTAAATATTTATATATGTATCAAATTATATTCAAGGTTTTCGCAACTCTATTTTCTAACTCGCCCTCTGCCTCTTTTCGTTTCTCCTCTCTTTCTCTCTTTCCTTCTCTCATGCACATATTTCTTTCTCCGTTTACTTCTATGTTTCCCATTCTTATCCCTCTTCCTTTATCCATAGTTCTCTCTGTCTATCGCTCTACGTTTTTCACTCTCTCTTTCTCTCTTTATCTCTCAATCTCACTCTCTCGTTTTTTTCTTCCTCTCGCTTTAGTATATGACTCTCAAACTATTCTTGCTTTCGCCCTCTCTTTATCAGTTTTTCCTTTATTCCAAGTTTTCTTCCTCTTCACTTAGCATTTTTATTGTTCATTTCTATCTTTATGTCTATGTCTTATTGTCATAGTAGTACTATACATATTCCACCTCATTTTCATCTTCATCTAATTCGCCATTCTCTGTAATGATCAAAAAAGACTCACCAAGACTTCACAAAGAAGATCTGCACTAATTTCTTGGATTATTATATTCCAACAATTAATTGAAGCTTTTGCACTTTCTCCATAAGGAATCTAAGATAATTTGGTCGAAATTTCCACATCCCAATCCTTTCAGTTGGGCTGAGTTGGATAGAGTAATTGTGAGGCGCATGCTAATTATCATGTTTGCCGCCGAGTCAAAGAGTTTGAGGGAATTGCTTCATTGTGTCTATTGAATAGCGAATCATTAATAACTAACCGTAAAACTGTTATAATCACGTCAAGAGGTGTTGGCTGTGGCCCAGCCTCTGTAAAGCCCCTGACTGTGGCATGCAAAAGGTGTCAAAAGTGCGCACCTCTTCTCCCTCTCCCTTTCCCACTCTTTCTCTCTCACTCTCTCAAAAGCCAAAGCCATAGACAACATCTAACAAATTGCTAGAGCTGTAAGCACGTGGATAATTGATGAGCGCCGCTGTGGCAGCCACTGCACCCAGCTTCAAAGACGAAGCTGAGAGCTCAGCGTCTCTGAGAGGCTTCGTCTACATCTACATCTGTGGCTGGAAGCACACCTCATCCATTTGGCATTTAGCATAATCTCAAGTGCTCTCGAGTGTGCTTTGTGTTTGTAATAATTATGGGACGGCAAAACTTCAAACTAATTTGAATATAATTTCATAGGAACTGGCTTCACTCTTTCTCTCTCTCCCTCTCTCTCTCTCTCTCTCTATCTCTCTCTTTTTCTGTCTCTTGGCAGCCCGCCCAGTTATTTATGGCTTAATCCTTGTGGTGAAGAAAATGAGAGCTCGTGCCTTTTATGCAAATTCTTTTTTAATAACCCAACCCAAAGTTCGGTTCATTCAGCACTGATTGCAGTCCGCGCGTTCGAAACTTCTTTCAGCTCAGCTCAGATAGCTCCCCTTTCTTGGCCATCTATTGTCTGATTGTCTGTTCGCCTGACAGCCGGAATGACTGCAGCTGACGCCTTTACCTTAGCCGTCGCCGTCGCCGTCGCCTTTGACGCGTTGCCTCATTCGTCGCCTTTATGATTTGATTATTATTCAAAATGATAAATGAAGATGAGTTTCACGTCATTTCTACGTAGTAGCTGCAGTAGCAATTTGAGCGGCTCGACTGATACGCATAACATGCCTGCTACCTGAAGTCCATTGTGAATTCTTCAGATGAATGTAACGGATATTACAGTCAAGGCAAACAGCTACACACAGTTCAATTGTTCAAACTACATTTTTTGTAGAGGAAAGTATGTATATGAAGTATATGGAAAAATATTTTATAGTGAGTTGCTGTAAGCTTATATAAAGATATTATATATAATATGGTTATTAATATGATGATTATGTTGCTAAGACATAAGATTATTAATTTAAGGAAAATTTTCTATAAATTCATTCAATTTAGCTTTAAGATAAGAAATATATATTTTTAGTGAAAGTTAGAATGAAATATTTTATAAACTTAAACATTTACTTTTTTTGTTTATATTAAAATTTTA